TCTCTCTCTCTCTCTCTCTCTCTCTCTCTCTCTCTCTCTCTCTCTCTGTGTGTGTGTGTGTGTGTGTGTGCACGTGTGCGTGTGCCTGTGTCTGTGTGTCTGTGTGTGTGTGCATATTCTTTCCAAGGCTATTTTCTCACATGAATTTCACAGATCCCGGAGCCAGAGTAACATTTGCTTACCAACAGCATGACACCAGGATAGCTGTATGAGTTTCTTTCTATGTTGGTTTTAGAACATTTTAGCCAAACTCTGCCACATCCAGCTGCTCGACGGAGAGCTTTCTGATAAAGTGTTAAATAGTCCTCCTTCCAAAACCTACAGTAATGTCCTGACTGTGCATTCTGAATCCTCCAAAAGTACTAGCAAGCTGGGAGTGAGCACACAGTAGGCCCCTCAGGAGGCAAGCCTGCTGAACATCTAAGAAGAGGCCTACCTGAGAACCATTGGTGCCTCTATTTACCAGGGTTCATCCGCATCAGCAGTGTTTGTATTCTCACTTTTATGACATAACATAAGGCAAGATGCCCACTCAATGACCAGCTCAGGTGTCCAGGAACTCAAGTGGTCTGTGAGGTTTGTGCAAGAGGACAGGAAATCTGTTCTTACGTGTCCTCCATAAGTCACCAGGCATGTGATTCCTGAATACTTTCATCAAAAGATCCTGTTAATGCTAACCAGGTTAAACTTTGAAAATTGGTTTGTGACAAAGAGATTCACAGTAAAACAAGCCAGTTTTGGCAGAGGAGATACCATGATCATGAAGGTGGTTTTCCTAGGGCAAGTCTGGATGTGCTGGCCCCTGTGATTTCCTCAAATGCAGGAAATGTGTGGTAGTGGGGGACTGTGTTCTTAGTCTACCCTGATTAAAAAGAAAAGGGAAAAAAGCCAGCTTTAATTAGGGTAAAATTCTTGAAGATAGTGTTTTGTCTGTTGTGAGTGTCATTTAAACATCTTTTATCCTCATGAGTAAGGCTGTTGCTCAGCCGGGTCAGCAACAACCATTCTCAGTTGTCATATTAAAAATATTAGAAAATATATATTAAATGTGGCCAGGTGGTAGTGATGCATACCTTTAATCCCAGCACTGGGGAGGCAGAGGCACGTGGATCTCTATGAGTTTGAGGCCAGCCTGGTCTACAGAGCAAGTTCTAGAACATCCAGAGCTACACAGAGAGACCCTCTCTTGGAAAAAAAATAATATGGGGCTGGGTTCATAGCTGAGAGTATGGTGCTGGGCTGGCTTGCGTAAGGCTCTGTACTCAACCCCAAGCATCGAAAACAAAACAAAAGCCAAAAGCCTAAATACTGATTAATACCATGTCCGTTTATTATATTATACAAAAGCAGTATTTTGAAAGGGTTTAAACATGTTTAAAAAGTGAATTTCACCACAGCTTAAGAAACACTGCCTTAAAATAAATCCTTAGGCAAGTAGTGTGTGTGTGTGTGTGTGTGTGTGTAGCCAAAATCATGCGGAAAGGGATGCTACTGTGTTGGGTGATCATATATTGCACAGTCTCCATGGTAAACAAAACATTTATTTCCACTTAGAATCAAACACTAACAGTGTCTGGTCAGTAGCCAGGATTCACTAAGGAAGGCCTGTCATTTGACTCCCAGCGCAGAGGCAGAAAAGTCGCTAAGCCTCAAAAGAATCCCAGAGCTTTCTGCCTTCTGGGCTATCTCACACTCACCTTCTTCCCAGCCTATCCACCTTTCTCCCCACAGCTCCTCCACTCCCGGTGGAACCTTCCCAGAGGAGAAGCAGTTGCCTCTGTCCCTGGCCTTGGAAATGGGAGCCTTGCACTGCAGGACAGGACAGGTTATTAGCTGTGAGGCCCTGCTAGCCTAGGCTAGCCTAGACCTGGGCACCTGTGTGGGTGTTCGCTTACTTCTGGCACAGAGTGATCTGCGCAGGCACCCATCAAAGAACAGAAACAGAAAGCAAGCCTTTGGGTGCAGGATGCACTGTAGCCTTTAAGAACATCAACCTTATCTGGCAAATTGCTGGTGGGTGGGATGAACGGATTCGGATGTCAGGAAACAGACATCTCCAGCCGTCGGGTCATAGCTTCAGGACTGGTGTAACCTCCGACTATCCTCCATAGGGATGCAGTCTGCGTGCACAGCCCTGGGAAGGGCATCTGCAGGAGCGAGAGAGGCAGTTCTCTGGACTGGAAGGGTCTTATATGAAGAGAAAAGGTGAGCTACGTCACTCTGTATGTGTTTAAAACTTCGAATTTTGTCTTTTTCTCCTCATAAGCCACTAGCATACCTTCCAAATCTTCAAGCTATCCCATCCTTCTTGAGTCCCCTTCCCTGTGACTTGTAGAGTTTTGGGTCCCTTTTCTGAGCAGAAGCAAGGTAGTAAGCATAAGGCTTGCTGGTTCCACTCTCTGTTGGGGAGCAATGTACAGTTTGGCTTGCTTCGTGTGAGTCAGCCATTGGAGAAGACCTTCATCAAATGTCCACAAGGAGCACATGGGATCACAGTGTAGGCTGACGCCATGGGTCTTCAGTCAGTCCACACAAATGAACTGCTCTACAGTCCTGCCCAGTCCTGCCCGTGGTCAGAGCTTACCCCAGCACTCTGCTTAAACTGTCTCCATCTCGGCAAGACATACTGCATCCGCAGACACTCGGTCCAGCTCAAAAGGTGCTTCGATGCATGGTAAAGTGTTTCCTAAAATTCCACAAAACGAAAAGCACTAAAAGCTGCCACTCCACATACTCCCCAAAGTAAATCATGCTTCTAAAGACACAACATTTTATTGCATTTAATTCCAGAAAAAATTAACAATTCGTTGTCAGCTAAACCACAGTCCTAGGGACACATTGAAAAGCTACGCCTCCATACAGGCTCCCCATGCCCACCCACTTACTTACCTCTGGATGTACACATGCATGCACTTCTGGGTGGGCTCACATTGATTCACCCATGAGCACAGATTCACAGGCACAATGACTGGCTCATGGGCATGTGTGCATGCACACGCACACACACACACACACACACACCACTCATAATTATGAGAATACGTTCAATCCCACTCACACAAGCGCATGCATATTTACACACAACATACGTACATACAATACACATTCATATGTACAAACCCACTCATACACTCATGGGTGCACACATATGCACACAATTATTTGCAAACATCTTCATCTGTATGTCCACAGTCATTCTTTAGCTTGCTAGTGGCTAACAGGGAAGAGCGGCTGCCTCTTGTCTCTAATGGCAAGGTATGTGTACAGTCCCCAGAGGGTTACATACTGACGACTCTGCTGAGGGAGTTACAGGCCGGTAGTCACCAGGAAACCAGATCGAACCAAGCTGGGCAGGAGCAAGAGAGGCCCACATCACAGCCTCAGAAGGGGAGTTCAGGTGCACACTTCAGAAGAGCCAATGCCTCTGACAGCTCATTTGCATAGCAATTACAGAAGGAGTCACTTGAAGGTCACTTCCTCTGTCCACTCTTGATGACAAAGGCAAGAGAGAGGCTACTTCTCTACCTCCTGCAGTTCTTTCAGAGTAGCCTGCAAGAGCCAGCGAAGCTTCCAGAACACACTGGAAGAAGCTGTCCAGGAATTCCCTGAGGGGCCCCCGTGGTGAGCACACTCCTGAACGGCCTGTTGTAGCTGCAGCTGAAGCTGGGGGGAGATGGTGGGGCTCCTGTGTGTTGAGGAGAACCAGTGGCGGAATATTTTATCACAGATGACCTGGGGGGTGGCAAGGGGAAGAAGAGAGACGTTGACTCAGGGAAGCAACTCCTTCTTGACCTCTGCTAGGTCTCAAGGGCACCCTTACCTTGCTCCTTTTGGGAAGCCCTACAGCCACGCAGCACTGGGAACTACAGTCTGCCCGAAGAGCTCTTCAGACCAGATTCACACACTATTTGCTTACAGGATTTAGGGTCCCCACTGAGGACCATGCCTGGGAGCTACACAGAGAATAGCACTTAACTTTCCCTTCAGGCTTTCCGTCAGCCTCATTTACCAAACACCCTCATACTCAAGAAGCACCTTTGACCTACATGTCCAACTCCTCGCAAAGGTATTATTATTTTTTTTAATATTTTTCCTTGTCTTGACTATCAATTACCCTTTTCCTATGCAAAAAAATTTTAGTGTCTAGAAAGATACCCCATAGCTC